CTTTCATCTGACAATTTGCATGTTGCAACTAAATAGTGTAGTCAGTATTTATTCTTCTAGCCCGTTATGTCGAAAAAAGAATGTGGGGCACAGGGACGCAAAAGACGTGCACAATTTGCAGCTTTGATGGTGGAGTCAAGCAAATTGATGAAAGCTTTCCTTGCTGGAAGTGATGACACCAGTAAGCCAGCATCTGTTCCTTTTGATGGCAGCAAAGAGGTCAAAGTGCAAGATTGCGAACATGCTATTTCATTTGAAAAAGAAAATAATGAAGAAACTGTTCTCTGTTCTGTTGAAAGCTACAATAATAATAAACAAGAAGATTCGACTTTGTCAGAAACAAATCCACGGAATAGTGTTGCTAAACTAAAAGAGGATGACCTAATAAATATTTTAACACACAGGGATATTGGATTTATGAAGTTTGATACAACAGGCTCAGCAGTTGTAACACATACACATCGCACAGAGATTGTTAAAGTTGGAGCACATGAATTTCAACATAAAGAAGGTCCATTTGATGCCAAAGATGGGCGTTCTATGACTGCATTTTGGTTCAAACGACGCCTTCTGAATGGACAATAGTTCAATCGTTTCTGGTTGGTATATTCACCTCTACATAAAGCAGCATACTGCTTTTGTTGTCTTCGTATTTCATCTACATGTATGACATCTGATAGTCGATCTGCTTTGAAAACACAGAGTGGATTCTCTAAGTGGAAAAAATTGAAAAGTTAAATGCCCATGAAAATAGTGACAGTCATCCTTAGTCATTTGCTGCTTGGAAAGAAACTGAGCGCCGAATTCGTCTTCAAAGTGGCATTGATGAAGAGCTGCAAAGGCAAATTCAGCAAGAAAAAATAAATGGAGAGATGTACTGCGACAGTTGTTGGATTGTACACAATATTTAGCTTCTCAGAATCTTGCATTTCGTGGTCATACTGAGGACATAACTTCAAACGAAAACCCTGGAAATTTCCCGTCACTTTTGCAGTCATTAGCAAAGTATGATCCAGTAATGAGAGAGCATTTAGAGCGTGTTAAAAACAAGCAAACGTCAGCATCTTAACTTTCGCTTGAAATCCAAAATGAGTTTATAAATCTCATGGCTTCACATGTGCGAAATTATTGTTTGTCAGCAATTCGTAGAAATAAATACTATGGTATTCTGTTTGATTCAACACCTGATTTAGCCCATCGTGAACAATTGGCTCAAGTGATTCGGTTTATTGACATTGACTTTAAGACAAGAAAAGTAGAAGTCAAAGAGTCATTTATTGACTTTATCCAGATAAAGGAAAAAGACGCTTCTAATATTGAGAAAACAATAAGCACAAAATTAGAAGTATATGGAATTTTATTGAGTGATTGTTGTTCACAATGTTATGATAATGCTGCTGTCATGTCAGGTCATCTGTCAGGCATTCAACAAAGAATTCTGAACAAAAATCCAAAAGCAGTGTGTATAAACTGTGACAACCATAGTTTGAACTTAGCATGTCTTCATGCTGCAAGTCAGGAAACAACAGTTATTACCTTTTTTGGTATAATTGAAGCCATTTATAATGTATTTGCTCATTCAACAACTCGATGGGACGAACTGCAGTAGGAGCTTAATATCTCTGTCAAGCATGAATCAGAAACACGGTGGAGTGCTAGAGAAAAGGCAGTAAAAGTTGTACATGAAAAACTGGATGAATTGCTAGGACTGTTAGAGCAATTAAGTGAGAAAGGCAACACGGCTGAAACAAAATGTGGTGCTCATAATATTCTGCAATGCATGCTTACATTTGATTTTCTTGTACTTTTGCATTTTTGGAGAAATCTTTTATCATCTATCAATCGAGTTTAGAAACGTCTTCATGACCCAAAAAATGAATCTTAGAGAAGCAGCTGCTGATCTTGATTCTTTGAAAGAGAAATTGAAAGAATCACGTGAAAAGTCCTGTCAAGAAGCACTTAAAGTGGGCAAGAATCAGTGTGAAACATGGGGATTGACCATTGAAAGAAGAAAAATACGTCGTAAACGAATGCCAGGTGAAAATGCAGCTGATGCTGGATTGACTGTTGAACAGGAAATTTATTGCATCATGAAGGATGTTATTGAGCGCTTGATTACAGAAATAACAGGAAGATTTTTCTCGCTTACTAGATTTAGATTCACGGTTTGGATTTCTACTGGATGTGCAAAATATTGTTTCTGGAGATTTCAAAGACGGAAAATTGCAAGAAAAATGTTCTGACTTAGCAAAGAGTTATCCAGGTAATACTGATGGACCAGAATTGTACAGAAAGATTAAAGACTGTAGAATGTTGGCAAGTAAAAGAACACAGACCGATTTTCCTGAACCAATGGTTGCAACTGATTTGCTATCATTTATAATTTCATATGGTGAAGATGTTTTCCCAAATTTAAGAATTGCATTGCCGATTTTGTTAACAATTGGGGTTTCTATTGCTAGTTGTGAAAGGTCCTTCAGCAAGCTGAAATAAATTCTTACATACTTGAGAACCTCAATGACTCAAGAACGACTTAGTAACTTGGCAATATTATAATATATGTACACCACAAGTGACTGGCTTCTCATATAAAACATAAGTTTCAAAAATATGGATATAAC